CCAAATTTACAATTGCAGTGCGAATGGCGGAGAACCTTAAGAATGCAACCGACCTCATTGAACAGGGTCATGTACGCGTGGGCACAGAAATGGTTAAGGATCCCGCTTTCCTAGTCTCTCGCAATTTGCAAGATTTCGTTACATGGGTTGATGGCTCCAAAATTAAGGAACATGTTTTACGTTATAATGATATGCGCGATGATTTCCAAATGTAGAAACTATATAATATTTAAGCTCGATAATATATGAAATTTAAATTTTACTTGTCTGTTTTCTTATATAGTAAAATTTTAATGAAAACTTACGTTCAGCCACTGACCAGTGGTTCAGCGTTCAACATTAAAAAACCAACCAAATTTTAAACCTTGTATTTAAAAGAAAATTCAGCTGTAAACGTAATTTGTTAAATWATTCATTTTTAATAACTTTATTACATTTCATATAATAATGTTTAGATCGCAWTAATATAATTCATTAGGTTGGAGCCTTTCGCGCCAAGGGCGCAACAGCGCCGACACAGACAAATATATATATAGTACATACATATTATAAACTTGTTTATCAATCAAATCCTCGTATTATCCCATTTTGTTACAAATGCCCGAGGCCGCATATAATAATAATCCTTCTAATTATGGCGGTACACACAGTTTTAATGCCTTATTAGTTTGTCACTTTATAGATTGCTAATTAGCTCGATTATCGATTGAAAATTCATTATTTAAACAAATTCAAATCAAATTATAGTAAAGAAATGAGTTTATTTATATATGCATACTAAATATAATAAATAAACAGATTTTAGCTGCACTGTTGAGCGGTCTGAAAAGTGTTAAGGGATTTTTTTACGGAAGTACAGACAATATTTTCTAAATTCATGTCAATGGCAGTTATTCGCTAACAAGTTGAAATATCTTTTTCCAGGGGCGTTAAAAGTGACGCTAAAAGAAAATTCTTTAAAATATAGTAAGAAAACAACTTAAACAAAGATTTTTGAATAATAATCCTCGTATCTTACGAATTTTTGTTGAGTTCATTGAAGCATTTGACTTTCCAATGAAATCCATGTGTGTGTGTGTCTGTTAAAATTGTAACAAATTAATTAAATAATTAATTTAGTAAATGAATTGTGTTTAGCATTTCCATAGTTTGTACAACAAGGACGACAGCTAATAAATGTGTCAGCCAGTTAAAAGTCTTTTTCTTTTTCAGTTTGTTGCATAGGTATATATGTATGTATGTATGTATCATTTAAATATTAGTTGTATTATTATTCCTTTTTAAGTTTGCATAAAAAGTAAATATTAATTAGTCTTACAAATAAATAGCTAGTGGCGTTAAAATTAGTGTCGACTGGCGAATTCTTTGTTCTTAGCCCCCCATTCACAATTTTCGGGGCGAAACAACAATATTTCGCATAAAAAACTTCATAACAATTTAAAACAAATTAATAAAATAAAGATTTTCTACAATATCTTTTGTTCATTATCTTTGAATTATATCTCTGCATGTGTGTGTATGTGTGTAAATGTGTTGATGTGTGTG